AGAAGGGTGAGAGAGCTGGTTTGGAGCCTAAGGCCTACGAGCAGCAGCTGAGGGAGCTGGGGGTTATAGCACGGTATGGATCAGTCTCTTCTCCCAGGTAGCAAGTGAAATGACATAAGGAAGTGGCCTCAAGTTGCCTCAGGTGAGAGTTAGATGGAATATCAGGAAAAATTTCTTTATGGAAAGGGCTGTCAAACATTGGAACAGGCTGCCCAAAGAAGTGGTTGAGTCACCATCCCTGGAGGCATTAAAAGACATGTAGATGTGTCACTTAGGATCATGGTTTAGCAGTGGACTTTACAATGCTGGGTTAACAGTTGGACTCCATGATCTTAAAGGTCTTTTCCAACCTAAATGATTGTATGATTCTATGTAAGCTTCTCCCCAGTGTGGAAATACAAAAAATAGCAGCCCAATCATCCAAAAGTCCATCCTTCATCTGTTAATAAATTGCTCAAATGTCCTGTTGAAAGCTCAGACACCTGCTAAATATGTCCAAGTCATTTTAGGGAAGGGATGCCATCCAGAGACACCTGAACAAGCTTTAGGAGTCGGCTCATGGGAACCTCATGAGGTTCAATATGGCTCAGTGGAAGGTGCAACACCTGGGTCAGGGCAAACCCCAGTATCAATAGAGGCTGGAGATGAATGAATCAAGAGCAGCCTCACCAAGAAGGACTTGCGGGTGCTGGTGGCAGAGAGACTGGACATGAACTGGTAATGTGCACTTGGAGCCCAGAATACCAAATGTGTCCTGGGCTGCATCAAAAGCAGTGTGGCCAGCAGCTCAAGGGAGGGGATTCTGCCCCTCTGCTCCACACTTGTGAGACCCCCACCCGGGGGCACCAGAACAACATAGACTCGGTATCATGAGTCCAGAGGAGGCCATGATGATGATCAGAGGGCTGGAGCACTTCTAGGAAGACAGGCTGAGAGGTGGGGCTGCTCAGCCTACAGAAGAGAAAGCTCCAGGGAGACCTTAGAGCCCTTTGAGGCTGGAGATGAATGAATCAAGAGCAGCCTCACCAAGAAGGACTTGCGGGTGCTGGTGGCAGAGAGACTGGACATGAACTGGTAATGTGCACTTGGAGCCCAGAATACCAAATGTGTCCTGGGCTGCATCAAAAGCAGTGTGGCCAGCAGCTCAAGGGAGGGGATTCTGCCCCTCTGCTCCACACTTGTGAGACCCCCACCCGGGGGCTGTGGGGTCCCCAGCACCAGAACAACATAGACTCGGTATCATGAGTCCAGAGGAGGCCATGATGATGATCAGAGGGCTGGAGCACTTCTAGGAAGACAGGCTGAGAGGTGGGGCTGCTCAGCCTACAGAAGAGAAAGCTCCAGTGAGACCTTAGAGCCCTTTCCTAAGGCAGCTACCAGAGAGCTGGAGAGGGAGTTTTGACAAGGGCATGTAGTCACAGGACTACAGGGAATGGCTTTAAACTTGTTTTAAAAATGGGTAGATCGAGAGTGGAAGAGTAGGAAGAAATTCTTTACTGTGAAGATGGTGAACAACCTAGTCTAGGGAAAGTGTCCTGTCCATGGCAGAGAGATTGGAAAAAGATCTTCAAGGTTCCTTGCAATCCAAGCCATTCTGTGATTCTATGTTTACCTCCCAAACATAAGCTCAACTGGCAAGTGAGAGAAAAATAAAGACATGATAGAGGAGTAAACAAATGCTGACAGAGTAAACCTTTGTTTCCACATAACAGGCTTATAACATCAGGGTTTTTCTTTGTCACTTCTGGGGCTTAGGTATGTGCAACATAAGTTAAACTTCTGTTACAGTTCAATTCCATGCTATTTTTGCATGGAAAGTCTAAAAAAAGACAGAATATCCATCATGTGTTGGACAACTCACTGCATTTCAATATACTTCATGTGTTGGACAACTCACTGCATTTCAATATACTTACACAAAAGTTTAAAAGCTCAGCATCATGAACTGAATGCTCAAACAAGACAAGGTGACATTTAGAATATATTAAGAAATAACTTCTTAACAACATAATAAGCTGACAACTTCTTGCAGAATTACATCTGTTATTGATAGTTCACTCTCCATCCCTGTCATTACTACTAACCAAAACTAAGAATGACCCAGAAACTGTGATTTAAATCTAGCATGTGTGTGTGTGTGACGTCAGATCAGTTCTTATGTGGGAGTAGTGATACTCTGCATTACAAATTTAACACTGTCTTGCACCTACACCTACATAAACTTTTAAAAGAAAAACTTGCAATTTAGGTTAATCGTTGCTATGGCCCATGGGGACCTGGCAATGAATCCCTTGAGCTTCTTAGAAAAGCACCACCCCCCTCAAAAAAAAAGGGAAGGTTATGTGGTAGGTTAACTTCCTCCCTTCATTTTTATCAGCTTTGAAACAGCATGACAAGCAGACTTATTTGTGATGCACTGTGCCTCTGTACTTAAACCCTGGTGCCTATGCTCCAAGACTGGCTAAATACATTTCTGGTATTAAATACTGCATTTCAAGTCATTAAGGCAAGTTCTGATTAAATGGGCCTCTATTCCCCACATCAGTTGACAGCAATTACAGCTGTCACCTGATTACAAGCTGAACAGAAGAGAGTGGGAGGCAGCTCTTTCTCCAGGGAGGAAGAAGTTATCTAGACTTTCAACCTCCTTTAAAATTTGCTTTTGTTTAAGCCCTATTATCAATTGCATGTTTTATGCTTGAAAAGCTTTGGGAATTCAGGATTTCCAGCTCCATTATTACATTTCTTTTGGTGCAGGTGTTCCAAAGGCTTTTGAGCATGAGTACCCAAAAAGGATCATAAGTTTTGATCTTAAGTTTTGTATTTGCTGGCAAAACACACTGGTGAAAAATATCTGCTTAGATTTAAAAAAAACCACAGACATGTATCACAGTTCAATAAAAGCAGTTCAAGTAATGTCTACAGTGTCAAAAATAAAAAAAAATTAACATTAGCAGAACTTAATTCTGCTAAATTGTTTGTTTTAAATACTTTAAAGTTCACACCTAAAATCTGTATTTCACAATTGAAAAAGTTATCTTTCCTGCTAGAGTAAGTTTGAGATGTTCACCAAAAACCTAAACAGCGCAAACTCATCAAATGAACGAGAACCTCAGCCACAAAATTACTTCATACTCCACACTGTATACAAAGAAAGCACAGCCACTCTCACTTTTGTGAAGAAAATTAAGAATTTTACTAAGATCAGACTCAAGAAATCATTAGCAATCTGAGAATACCATAAAGACTGGGACTTGAAATGCACTTTGGAAGGAAACAAAAAACCTAGAATAATAAAAACATAACTAAAAATTGCATTGTGCAAAGCAGTACTTGTGAAAAGGAATGAGAGATAATGTGGATAAACAACTGAACCTGAAAGAGTGCAATATTATGACAAAACAGGAACAGTGTGATCTTTGGATGTATTAGCTGGAGTTATAAAATAGATTACATTCCTGCAGTTCTTTCTGTCTCACAACAAGGTATTATAAAAATCCACATGCAATTCTGGGATCCTTAAGTTAAGTAGAAATATGGAAAGGGAATAGGAGAGAGCAATCAAATGATGGAGCATGGATGGTTTCATCAGTTAAACAACTGAAAAACAAGTCAGATATATTTACAGTAAAAAATGTAGACAATTTGAATTGCATAACTGCTATCAAAAAATTCCCAACTGATCATATGGGGATTCACCATTTCATAAGATACTGACTACATTTTGAGAGATGTGAATTTATCAAATAATGGAAGCAGGATGGCATTTGAAGTCTGTGCTAAAGTAAAAATAATGTAAAATGAGTACTCACTTCTCACCTACTAAATCACATTGTTTGAAGTAACCTTTAAACTTCCCCTCTCTTTTTTTAAAAGGTCAGTTTGAGCAGAAGATTGACTTTAACTCAGTTACTCTCGTGTTATCTTACTAGATGATAAATGATTCATATGCAATGCTTACCATACTTATCTAGGTATTTCTAATGTACAGATCACAGCATTATCTAAGCATTATATGATTTAAAGAAATGATTGCTTTAACTTTCAATGAGTTTAGTGCCTGCTGCACTACAGGAAATATAACAAATTCTTTATGAAAGCTCAATGAAATTTATTTGTACATTCCATATATGAAGAGATGAAAAAGATACAACTAGTTGAGAAATCATAGGGAAAAGGTGGCTTTGAAACAATATAATAAAATCATCACTTCAAAGGAAAGATTTCAGAGGGAAGAAACACAATAGTAACACCAGGTTGTAGATTGTAACTAGACTGTAACTTAGTAAAAATAACTAAGAAAACTTTTTCATCAGAATTCAGACAGGACAACAGTATATGATTATAGAGAGGTCAGACTACAGTAAGACATCATGATTTCCCAAAGCCAAGAGAATATAAAGCACAGCAATCACTGGTTTTCTCATTAAGGGAGCAGCAAGTTCATGGCATGGTGAAAGCTCCAAAAGGAACTGAAAGTGTAAGGAATAACACAGATGCCAGAGGATGCATCTTGAGATCCTACAGTGACGTGGTAGCAGTAAATATTTCTGGTTTCAAGATTTACATGAAGGGAGTAAGAGTTTTACAATAAATCCTTCAATACTGATCATAGCAGAAGAGTAAAAACAGAAAAAAAATGGTTGCTGGAACCAAAATTGTATGCATGTTTTTTTGGACAGAGAATGTTTTCAAGCTCATCTATTAATTGGTAAGAAGTACCAACTATGAGAAAAAAAACAAAACAGAAGTTAAAGAGTGTTGCCTTTAACATGGTATATGTACAGAAGAATTATTAAAAGCTTACAAGTAAGTGCCCAAGTTAGATTTAAGGCTTGGCTTGTAGAGGAAATCAGCAATACAGCATTATCCCACTTGGCAAAGCAGTGTCTTGTATTCACAGTAGGCTAATGAAGAAACACAGTAGGGGAAGAAAAAAACTCACAAAGTACAAAATCTAATCAGTATCAAGTTTCACATTTAATGCCATCACTTGTTACCTGGATTTCTAATTCAGCAATATGCTGCTGGAGTTCTGCCACAGCTGCAATGCGGTCTGCCTCACGGAGCCGTACTGCCATCACTTCTTCTTTACTCTGAAAGAAGTCAGAAATGGGAGCTAACTAGTACCAGCTTTAGCTGATTAAAGACTGCACTGCTTTTACTCAAAATCCTGCTCTGCAAACTACCACTATTCTAAAGAATTCAAATTTAATTTTAACCCATAGGAGGAGTATGTAATAATCTAAACTCTAAAGTATATTAATCTAAAAGAAAAATCTCTGCAGATTTGAAAACTTGCTGTTATCAGTTTCAAGGTCCAGAAAACAACCGTCTTGTTTTCCATAAATATTATACTGTAAATTAAGAAAAAGAATCAACATTATAAAATAAACCAGCTCATGCTTTAATTTTGGACTTATTATATATAGAGAAACAAAGCTACACAAGAGTTACTTATTTTATAATTTCCTTTGTCCTAAAAAATAAAAAAAATTAAATACAAAAGCAAATGTATTCTCAACCTCATTTAGTCCAGCTATCTTAGTCACAGTATATGACAAAGACATTTTAGAATAAAATACTAATGCACGTAACCTACAATTGGCCTACCACAGTAAGTTTAACCTACTAGTCTGTCTATAAATGATAGGTAATTTGAGTTTGAAAAAGAGAGAAAAAAATGTCCAGTTTCATGAGGCAAGTCCTCAAGACTTCAGAGCATAAAACAACATTATATTATCAGCAGCCTGATAATATAATGGTACAACCATGGAGAGAAAGAAGTGTTAAATAATTAGTGAGCAGTACGATCAGCTGAAGAGCAAACAGCTCTGGGAAGAGACAGATTAGGCTCAGGTACACCTACTTTTATAGCAGACTGGTGTAACTAAACTGTATCAACTGCAAAACAATCTGGAAAATTGGAACAAAAACAATCTGGAACAAAATCAGTTCCAGTACTTTGGTTATTTTAATGTGCTTCAAACAAACAGTACAGCTGAAATAAAATCAAACAAATCAAAGCTTATCCATAGTAGCTACTTCTAAACATGCTATTTGTTTGGTTTTGGTTCCTTTTTAAAATATTCCTGTAATGAGGTATATAATCTACAGGACCCAATTAACTGCATTTGTAATCAGTGGAGCCTATTTTAGAGAAATCTATCATGTGCTAGACAAAGTTTAGCCATTCTTGCTAAATTCTGTTACATGATTGCTCAAATGAAGCCAAACCGACAAGTCCACAGGATTGCAAGTATTTAACTGAAAGCTGAAGGAAAGACTGGCTTGGTTTGACTTTGGTATCAGAGATGAGTCAATAGTGCTGCTCTAGATGGCACTGATGCTTTATCTCTGAAACAGAGTGTGTTCTCAATAATTACCATAGATATGGTAGGAAAGACAAGATTGGGTGAGGGCACAAATCTTAAATTGTAAATTCTTTAGCACAACTGATTAGAAAGATCAGTGGTGAGTTTCAAGAAAAAAATTGAAATTGAGTCCTTGCTGTAGAAGCAGTAGTCAGATAAAAAGGGAAAAACATAACAATACACACCTGCGGCGAAAACAGTTGCCATGCAGCTGGTATGAGATGCAACTGGCTACAAAAAATTTAATTTCTGCTTAAGCATTTCAAGATAGCTTTTAAAAGAAAAATACAAACTCCTGAAATAACATACCAGTTTATTTGGAGTTGAAAATCCAAATATATACTTTTTGAGACAGTAGAAATATTGCTACCTAGCCAAGACAAAAATAAAACTAGAGCATGAATTCAAACAACTTGAAAAAACAGAAAAAAAAAAAAATCCAACATCAGTTAATAGAAATCAGGAATAACTGTTGTTGTTTTTTATATATAATCAAATACTACTTGCCAAACATCTTACAGTGTAAATTTTAACCTTTTTTTCTATTAGCTACAAAACAAGTTTCAGGATCTAATGTTAGTGTATGTCAGTGAAGATACTTCATTGGCTATTCCCCATAGCTACTTTCAGAATTTCACAGAATCTCTAAAGAGTATGACTGGTGCTCTGTCTGTTGCTGTCACACTTTTCTCTAGCCCATGCTAGAGCATTGTTCTATAAATGTATTATCCCATTGAGAATACCTATGTGTACTAACTCATTAATCAGGTTAAAGACATTGCTTTTTACATAGTCAACATAAAACCAGAATATTGACTACACAGTTTCAATCCTCGATCTCTTAAAGATTAATGAGCACCTTCAGCATCAAAAACTAATCAAACCAAGTTATGGTTATATGAAAAAGGCATCACCAAGATTATTATTATTTTTTTAAAAATCAATAAAATTAATCTCAGCATTAAAAAAATGGTATTTAGGAAACCAGAGGTTATGGCAAACAAGAAAACTAGTAGAAGAAATTTCTTCTAGTTGAGATTCAATATATTTTTTCCTAAAAGCTTGTGATGGAGTTTGAGGAGTCAGCAGAAGTTACTTCTTTGCTGCACTGTACATTCAAGTCCCACTAGAAACAAATGGAACCAGCAAGACAGTAAGAAAAATGAAAACCTGAAAGAGTCTGTTGCTGAGGAGTGTCTTTTTATATTACACACAGACACTTTTCTGAGTAGAACCATGCTCTAAAGTAAATGTTTATCTTCGTGGAACCACAAAGAAGCAGCTCTGTCAAAACCCCAAGTGGTTTTTGTGAGATAGTAAATTCAAAATGATATTGTCAAAATCAGTAAAAAGAATTTAGGTTTTATGATTTATGCTTCTCAGTTAAGACAAGATTTTATCCAATAACGGCAGACAAGACTAAAATGTGCATATATTAGCACACAAATATTATTTTCAGCATGTCGTTTACCTTGCATTCAATCTCTGCTTGTCTACGTTTTGCTTCATTCAACTGGGCCAGGAGTCCTTTGTTCTGTGCAGAAAGATACTGCACCTTCTCCTGTAGGTTGGTAACCTCTTGCTCTGCCCTTCGTAAGTGATTACTATTGATCTGATTCTGAAATTTATGACCAGAAAAAGGAAACAAAATACATGTTAAGGAGAGGATGTTAATCTAACTCTCTGAAGTCTGACAAAACAGACTTAGAGATGATTTAACATAAAAAACTTTTGATGAAAAAGTGTTCAGAGTTTTCCAAGTGTAATCAGAAGAGACTGCATAACATTTTGTTTATCATCAGGATATTCAAATTGTTCTTAAACAGATGACTCATCATAAGAACATTATTGCAAAGCTCCACCACACTCCAGTAGATCTCTTTTTCCCAATTTGTTGCCTAGGTAAGGCAGATTTTGTGAACTTGTGAACTACACTATGCATCCAGGAAAGACCAGGTATGTCAGAAATACTGACATTGCACATTTCCCTGTCCAGTGAACTCCTGAAAGCAACATGGCACCTTAGTTGAGATCAGTGCACAAGTACAAGTGACAGCATTTGTACCTGAAGCTGTGCACACCATACCACGAGAATGGCATTTTTCTCAGATGACAGCTGAACAGCATAAGCACAAAGACTGTGTGTAACACTGGAGTGAGAAGTACCTAAATACATGTGAGCCAAACAGCAGGATCTCTCCGCCCCCTACTGACCAAAACAATATTGACTCGTCAGTGAATATTTTAAAAGGTAAGGCAAGAGGAAACTTGTTCAGTTAGTATAGACAAAGTGGTGCATCTGTCAGAAAGAAGCCTTCATATACCTTGCAGTTGGTTCATCTGTCTTCAATAGCACATCCTTACATGCTCTCCTGGTTTCTGGAATTGCTGAACCTTTTCAAGTAAAGCTCTTGTTTGTTTAATTTTGTGGATGCATAGATCTCTTTCAAAAAGTAACATTTAGCAGGTATTTCAGGGGAAGATTTCTTAGAAGCCTCATACAAATCCTTCTCAATCATCAGCACTTTCTGCTTACTAACTTGAGTGAAAGCTTACTAATACAATATGCACTCACCACTTTAGTGCATTTTCATTTCAGGTGCTTAGCAACTTATTCCCTAGCTATACAAAAAAAATCTTGGCAGTCAAAGTATGATTGTCTTTTCTGCACAACCCTCAGCAGGCATAACCCACGCTTTTCTATTCTGTTGCATTAAAGGCAAACCTTCTGCTAAAACACCCTGACCAAACACAGCTGCTTTGCTGAGTCCACAGCTTAGTAACCAGATTCATGACCTCCGCAGAAAATCAATCACCAATGTCATCAAAAGAAAGCACACACTGCCACCTAAACATTACTATTATCAGAATTGCCAATCAGACTTGTGAGACTTAAAACACCTTAAACATACTTTTGTTGTTGTTACACCTGTTAAGATTTAATGACTTAAGACACATTCAGTGTCTACAACGAACCCAAATTACAAATTCAAGCAGCACAGTCCTGGAAAAGATTCAAGAACAGACATGAAAGTTGGACTGCATGCACAGAGTCTCCCATCCCCATCTAACAGAAGCAAAAACATCACACATTTTGGAACTGAAGTCCTATTGTAGATAGTGAAGATCATCTACCATGTAACACCAAACTGCCAGCATCCAGCTCAGTTCACACCTCCTAGTGTTCAATGACATACCTGTGTCTCCACCTCCATCATTCTTTGTTTGGTCTCTTTCAGCTCAGCCTGAGTTTCTGCTTCTCTCAACCGCACTGTCATCAGCTCATCCTGTAGCTCATTCAGTGCATTTTTTTTGGGAGGATCTTTCCATCTTCCAGTGGTACGAGCTAGGTGACGCTAGAAAAACAGCATGGTTTTGCTGGTAATGCCTGATCATTCCTGGTGTTTCCTTACTTCATCTAAGGTCTCAGTTATATGAGGACAAATAGCTAGATTTCCCCTGTTGATCCTGAAAGCTAGAAACCTATGGAAACTTACTGGTTTTAAGAACAGACAATTAAAAACTGAACACATTCATTCCCAACTACATTAAGTCAGTGAATTGCAAATATATCCTGAGACTTTTGTCTATTTCTAGCCCTTTTTAACATGCAGCAAAGTAGGAGTACTGATCAGGTATTTTCCTCCTACCGTTACAGTTAGCTGGCAGCACAGGCCCTCTGCCATCTATAACAACTAGGCACCAATTTCTAACATACTTTTGAAGTTAAGTTTCTTGTGACAGCTGAATTTAAGGATTTTTTCACCTCAGCAGTTTGATCCATAATAATTAGTTTCTACTTGATCTCAGTACCTCAAAATTTTATAGTCTTATGCTTTATCACTGGAAACAAAAATTAATAAAATTGTATTACAACCCATACCTGCCAGTGTTCCTCCAAATCTTTGACTTGCTGCCTCAGTTCTTTGAGACCCATCAAAGATTCTGCTTCTCTTAATTTTACTGCAATCAGTTCTTCTTGTAGTCTGGCAACATTTTCCTCATCAGGGAGAGAGCTGTTCCTCTGCAACAAGGACCATCCTCTTAAATATGTATTTGAATAAAATTGTGCTTAGTGAAACCCAGTCCAAGAACATAGACAGGTAACAATTACTACGGAAACTTTAAGTGCACATCTTCTGCAAAATAAAAATCATCAAAAAATCTAAGCTTCTGGATATCGTGTGTATAAACTGCCAACTACAAAAAAAATGTATAAGGTAGCAGTTCTAGATATTCTGACTTCAATATTTCCTTGAATGGTATCCCTAACAAAACAATACATTTAAAATATTTGAACACACCATCAAAATATGGAGAGTAATCTGGAAGGTTTTGATCTAGCTGATAAAAAGTAAAGCGACAATGAACTGAAATTACACCTTAAAGCTATAACATTTATTTAGGTTTACAGGAAAAATAATATATGGAAATTCATTTTTTAGGAAGTAGGTCATCAGCCTTTGAAAAGGAGAACAGATACGCTGGCAAAGGAACCATCCGTTAATTTTTATAAACAACAACCAGTCAAGAGGTCTTAGAGATGGAAAGTGCAAGACACATGAGGAAAAAGCAGAAAGGTGAGAGAAGGCTAAACAGAAAACATGAAAACACCAGGAAAAGCAAAACAGAGACGAAATCCTAATGATGGAAATGTGGGAGAAAAACAAGAGGGGAAGAAAATGAACAAGCTGTCTACAGTATCCCTACAACAAATCATTGGTCACCAAATATTCAAAGCTGAACTGTTCTTCACTTTATTTCCCTGTAGTTGTTTTCAGCAAAATCAAGTGTTTTTGCAGATGTATAATACTGTAACAGTTGTCAGGTTTTCTTGAGAGTTGAGTAAAGCACCTGATTAACATTAACAGAACACAGCACCACAGCCATTGATTAGCATTCCATGGGAATTCTGGGATCTGTGTATTGGCAAATACAGGAAATGAGAGGGTGTGTTTCTGAATGTTTATGGCACTGTCACTGTGGCCATGCGAGTCTTGGGTTATTCAGCAGAAGCTCCCCAGATTACACGACTCAGCACTAACAGCAGTAAAGAGCTGTACTGGAGGAATGTGAGGGACTTCAGCTCTTTCTCATGTGCATAAGTTCATTATGACAGACTGAAATATTACTGTATGTCTGAGTTTGTCTGATGCACTGGAACTAATCCCGCTATTCCAGTTTTTCTTTGCAGGTAAGTTTTCATTGTATGCTGTCTCCATGATGATAACATTTAAGTAGTCTCCTGAATTTTGAGAAATACTTTATATCCTGAATTCTTACCAATGGTCAATACAGTAAAAACTACTAATAGTAAGCTCATCAGATAACTGAAAAATAAATCTTGACTCCAGTGGGTTCATCTAATTAGCTAGTACGTTCTAGTCAAAGCCTAAGTATATAGCTCATTAAAATTTCCTAAGGAAACTAATTCCAAAGTCAGTACAATAGAATCTGAAAAGCATGCTTTATATCAGGTCAGTTATTGGTGTTTTTTGGTTTGGTTTTTTTTTTGTTTTTTTTTTTAAATTGTTGTTGTTGGGTTTTTTTGGGTTTTTTTTTTGGGGGGTGGGGGGGAGGATTGTTTGCTATTTTATCTTGCAGTTAAACTTTGCTTCAAAGAAAGGTAAATGTTTGACAGTAGGTTTGAGTACAGCTTGAACTCTGGCATCAGTAAGTTACAAGCTAGCATGGCATCCAAAAAGCAGTAGAAATTCTGATACTGAGCAGTGAAGGGATAAGGGATTCTTTCCCTGCCCATAATGGGAATGGCAATATTGAACCCATTCTTGTTCCCCTTCCAAACTATTTTGTTTCACATCATCTCAATGCTCACTCTAAGCCCACTGCTCTCGTTACAGGATATCATTCTGAAACAATTGATGTTTCCCATCAGGACTTCACCAGAATCTAAGTTTTCCACTATAGCAGGCTTCAGGAATAGAAGGAAAGTGATCAGTTATTCACAAACCTTTCCCAGCGCAAACAGACCTTAGTTTTATTGTTGTGCTTTCAGGTTTGAAAAGCATCTTGCAATCACAGAAGCATAGAAGAGAAGGTTCTAGAGACAGTTCTGCTTGCTAGGAAAGACAGGGACCTGTAGTTTGTTTCTAGTGCTGTTCTGTATAGAGGGTCCTGGTATGATTTACCTTTTCCATCTCTAGAACTTTATCTTGCATCTCCTTCAGGGCACAATGGGATTCTGCTTCACTCAGCCTGGCTTGGACCAGCTCTTTTTCCAGCTGTAGCACAAAGTCTTCACTGTATCGTGAACTGCATTTATGCTACAAAGTTTGCAGAAACATGTTTAGTATGAAGTACAGGTTGTTTGAAAGGGGTTTTATATATCAGATTTGGTGGGACAAGTACATTCAAATGTTTAATATCAGGAGTACCAGCATAAGTGCTTACCATATATGTCTATTAATGTCAATCCAGTCTACTAACAAACGTATCCCTACTGCTCTGTGTCTCAAACAACTGCACCTCCACACAGCCGAATGTGCCTGACAAAACTGAGGCCCCTAACTAGTACTGACAAGCAGCAACTCACACTTTTCTCTCATTGTCAAGCAAACTGAAAGATTCTCAAACGATATGTGATTATTTTGTGATCTGCAGAAAAAGATGGTGGGGAAAGACTAACTAATTACAAGGTTAGTACAAGTATCACTCAATCCTTGTTCACTTGAACTCCAAATCAACAGAATCCTTCCATATCCTGGCTTTGAAATAAAACTACATAGCTTCAATGAACAATGACTTTGGTTTGCCCTTCACTCCAGCTCTTGGGTCTCATTTGCTCACACTCTATATATTCCTTCTGAGATTCAGATACATCCAACTGAAGCACTTATATTTAAAAGACTCTCTTAACTTTTCTCCCCAATCAACAGTTAAAAAATCCATTTTATTTCTTTCCTGGGTCACTTTAAAATGACCTGTCAGTTTGACAGATTGTCAAACTTGCTTGATAGGCAACACCAACCTAAATCAGCCTTTAAATTTCTGATTGAAGAAAAAAGTGGGCATTGAAGTCCTCAAAGTGTAGTTGTTTAGTTAATATGTTTACATAGCTACCCTGAAAATTATGTTTAGAGGAAAATAATATAGTTTTGGTGTCATTAACTACATTGTGAAATATAAGTACTATGCTTGGATTCATAGATTCAGTTTTAATTAACAATTCAACTTTTTTAAGATTATTCATTATATTAAAGATACAGCTGTGTCTTATGTTTGCATCAAGCAATTTAGTTTTCTGCATCTAAAAAACAGTAAAAAAATGAACAGAAGTCTTCAGTTCCACATGCTTCTGTTACGGTGTGACACTTCCTGACTTTTTATGTATAAATAAAAGGCAAACAGGACAAAACAAAGACTTAAATGTAACTATGTGGTCAAGGAATTTTTTTTCATTTGTTTTTATACTTCTGCATGCCAATTAAACCTTTTGTCAAGACTTACAGTACAATCCAAATTCAAAATTTACTCTACAGAGTTACACTCTACTCTTAGTGTTACCATATTTCTTGTATATATGTGCCTACAGAAGCTGTAATGGAGGGGATATGTACAAAGCATTAAAAGGCAAAGGCAGCTCAGGCAGGCAGTTTTTAGTGTCATTGACACTGTCCACTTAAGCACGTGAACACACATGGAACACAGATACACTATGATCCTTGTACATTAATACTAATCTTTCCCTTATACAATACTAATTGAATTCCTATTGTTTTCAACCCACACAGTATTCCTGCCTCAGCAAGCAGTGGAGGCAGACCTGATCTGAGTGTAAGGAAGAGGATGGTGGACAATGCTGATTCATTTCTACAGTTGCTTCACATCATGTAGCAACACAAGTAGCATATGTAACATATGTAATACCATGCAGAGGCAGAGAAGAAGCAACCACTCTCTTATTCCCTGGCTGTTTATAGAGGTTCATCCCACAATACACACAGTAACTTAAATGGACTCTACATTTCATGTTCCAGATTCCTGTGATACATACGGAATGAGAGCAAATGCAGTGTTCTCCAGGACATCGAGAGAAAACAGCAGACTTGAAGAATTGAATACACGCTGATTTTGCAATAAGGCAAGTGTATTCTATAAAAATCTAATTGATGTTTATCAAACAATTAGTAATGGAGAATGTAAGAAAAGTTATGAATCCAGTTTCAAGCATGAGCCATGCCTTATTTAAATATGTCTTTAGATTTTGCCTGCCCAAGGAATATGTTAAGAATACTTATTTACTTAGCCACAACAAACTCTAAATCAAGTCTTGATACACAAAAAAAACCCAGCAAAGACCAAAACAGACTGAAGAAATAAAGATTCACAAATTAGAAGTTGTGCATTTTGCTACCTAGTAAAACAAAGCACAATTTCAATAATTTAGTATATAAAAGTAACACAAGTTTATAGTTAAAACAGCATTGGAAAACTACTTTTAAATTGACTGCAGGAAAAAAAAAATCTGCTTTTATATATTTGCCTTAAGCCCTAGAATTTCTGACAAAAGCCACAATGCAAATACAGATTTTCAGACATCAAATATTTTAACCACAGTAACACTTTCTTGCCTACGTTCAAGAGACATAAGTAATGTAAGTTTTATAAATATAAAACTGTAGTTCTACAGCCATTTAATTCTGAAAGAAACAAGTCCTTGCTGGGCTTCATACAACTGGTTTTATTTCCACCCAACTTTTCTTAAACATAACCATACCAAATATTATTTTGGCTGATGACAGATATAATTACATAATGTTTCTCCAGTATACTGTACTGAAGAGCAATTAACAGATGATACAGCAGCTCCCAGCTAACTTTGTTTATACATTTGAGCACTATCTGTAGTGCTTCCCTAAACACAGTATTCTTATTTTCTGCTTTTTTGTTGCAAATCAGAACACAGTATTAGGAAAGTATACTGTAAAATAAAGTGAAGCCTTTCATAAAGTTGCAACACTTATTTACAAGCATATATTCCCAATATCAATTACTATGTTCTTAATTATTATCAGTCATTTTAGCATGAGTTCCTGAAAAGAAACTATGCATTGTGAAGTTGCTGTAACAATAACCAAATACATCACTATAAATTACCTTTCAAAATGCATATGCTTCCATCTGAATGCTTAGTCAATTAAAATTCTATCTTCACATAATATAGCTGAAGAGCCTATTTAAAAATAAGATGTGAACTAATTTTAGCTTGATTAGCCTCCAATTTATCAGATTCAATTTTAAAGCATTCAGACTGATGAACTGGGTAAGCATTGACAATTACAGTGTCAAAGGGAAAGACAAGATTTGCATTCTGGAGGTGTTTACATCCAGCAAGAAGCTACCCCTTTCATTTAGAAACACAAGGAAGAAAAGAACAGAGAATAAAACCTTCAGCACATAATTATCTGGAGTAAGTTACAACAGGCTGATTACCCTTTCCCCTAACTCCTCAAATACCATTGCTCTTAGCATGCCTCAAAAGAAAACTGTATTTAGTTCAAGTCAGGCAAAACTTCCTCTATGCAGTTCTCAATTTACTAGCAGTATGAGGAAGAAGCCACCTCCCTCTTAATCACTTGGTAAACACAGTGACTTGCCTTTGGCAAGCTTCCATATCTAAAGACCAGACAAGCCAAAGAGAGATTAGTATCATTCGTTAGTAAAATGATTACCGTTTTAAGTAGACTCCACACTTCATTATGAAGTCTTTCTGGTTCAACTAAAAACTCCCTATAAATAGTTTAGCACAGGAAAAAATAAACTTATATGTAATTTGGGCTTCTGGTGCTGGGCTTTGATCAAAAGAATACTCCTCTACCCATCTCTGTATTCAGAAGTGCTTCAGGGGAGAATTTCTTCAGACACAAATCCAGTAAGTACTTTCAATACTTACCCTTAAGCCATCCAACCTATGCTATCCAATCTCATAGAACAGAGAGCATAAACCCTTGGTAATACAAAAATACAAATGCATAACCTTTTTACAAAGGCTATGTCAACCTTCTCAGAAATACTATTGTTTTGATAATTTTTTGCTACCAAATGCTATTGTTTTGACAATTTTTTGCTACCAATAAGCCAGTGGGTTTTTTAAATTGCACAGCGTTGTTCAGAAGAGGCTGCTGCAAGTACCCTTAGGCAGTTCTTTCCATACATTTCTATTCAGAGATTCATATCCAAACATTAGCTTTTTATCATGCTGAAACAGACAATTCAAGACTGAAAAAGATGTAGATGGTAAAATATATACAATAGATGCTGTATCTTTAAATAAGCACAGAAACTATGCAGTGATTTACAAGTTTACAGTGCAATCATTTTTGCTAGCAATAAACACAGCTGAAATATTTAGAGAAGAAAACATTAAAGCAGATAGTCAGAAGACAATACTGAAAAGGAGTATTGCCAAGAACAAAGCTACTGGCACGAGAAAGTGGCAAAAATTTAACCAGTGCACAGTAAATGCCAAAATTCCAGATAAATCCATGCATTCTCACCAGGTGGCGCCCTAAACGCACGCAGCTGCTTACATTCGTCGCTCTCACTCCCTTGCTTGGAGTTAAAGCCTGTTCAATTACACATCTTACTGGTGCAGCAGGATCTAGCAAACGTTCCTCACTTAAACCACTTCAACTCTTTCACCACGTTTTCTAACTCTGGTGGGTCTCAAAACCACAGTGCTATTCCTTGCACTTCAGAATAAGCCAGCACAAATATTATTATTAGGCACAAATCTGTCTATAACCATATGGATTTACAGTCTCAGCTCCACACACACAGTCAGACAGCTTCACGTAGCCATGTTCACATAGCCATGTTCACGTTTAAGTGGAGGAAAACAATGCTGCAAGCATGGAAAGAAGGAAGCGGGCTCATAATTTAACCTACTCTCCACCCCTACAGTACTCATCCAGTTGCCTGCACTCACAGCTCCAACCCAGCCAAATTTGCAACCCACAGTTACGTAAGGTTTTGCTCAGGATCAGTTCCCATACCTAGGCAATCTGTCAGGCCTCCCCATCACTGGTACTCTGTAAGGTCCCCAGCATAAAGGCATTAGCTTTAAAAGTCATAGTCCCACCAATTAACAAATAAATAAATATAGTGTCTTAGTCTTCTTCTAGTAACTTTTAATTGCATACAGGTCATTAACATCGATGCCTCAAAAAATACATTCCAAAGGTGTGTGTACTATTGTAATCAGACAATACAGCTGGATATAACAGTTGGATATCCAAAAGTCTATAAACACTTCACATTGTATTTCACTTGAAAGATTACAATATATCTAAAAATGTTGAAAAGTATTACTAGACCATCCCCATCTTCCTAATCATAATTTCTTCATATTTTTCCCCCTAAAGAAATTGTTCAAGTTCAATAAAAAGCAGCATTTCACATGAGAGAGTAACAGCTCATTCATCACTTTGTACAACTATCCTAAAATACGTACCTTTTTACACTGAAATGCATTAAACATACATAATAAACTAGTTCTAGAATGTTGCATTTAAGTTGTGATTTCTTTTCAGTCTAGCAACAAATTTCATCTTTACCTTCCAATATGAGACACAGGTATTTCTTGAGCTTTGGTGGAAGACAGGTAAAACAAACTGCCATACTGACATTAAGGAACCTGGTAAGGAGCTGCCACATACTTAGTTTAATTAAGTCGTATTTCATGCACCTGAAATTCCCAAGACTCCAGACAAGTACTTGGATACCACTTAAAACAATATGAAGACATTCACATCAACACTAGTGCACAGTCTATTCAGCAAGTGAAGATGCTAAAATGCTTCCCTCTGTCCCCCCGAAGAGAAGATACTGAGCACTTCAAGTGCCTTAGGGAAAGTAACTTCAGTGTTACAGCAACAGTCAGAAGTCTTGAACACTTTATTACCTAAAACACAGAGTGCACCCAAATACAGCACTATAAAAGGCTACTAAAATTTATTTTCCTGGTCCATATGCCCATAAATCCACACTTTTAAGTCAAGTTTTGTAGTTGCAAAATCAGGGATGATACTCCTCTACTTCAGCAAGCAGTAAATTTTAGCATACTTGGAAAAAAACAAATACGTGTACACAGAAGAAACATTAACATGAAAGAAACTGACTTGAATTATACACTAGGTAAGGGCACTGTGAATCAATTCTCAAATTTGAGTATTCAGAATGACACAACTTGCAATGACTAGATTCTTAGCATTAAGAGCTATCAGAGGTTATATGTGTGGTTTTTTGTTAGTACTTCTTTTGTGATGGAAGGGTTTTGGCTTGGTTTGTAGGGTTTTTTTGCTTGGTGTGTTTCATTGTGGGTATGTTGTTTAGTTTTTTTAATTAAGTCATAACTTACACCTATCCAGGGTTATGAATCTCATCTATCAGTAGAACAGAGCAAAATTTCATTTAATCCAATTTGTGTAATTTTAAGAATGCAAATCACAATGAACAGGGGTTTACAAAGACAGCACAGAGACCATGTCATATAATGATGAGGAAAAATAAACACATGTGAGGGAAGAAAAATGAGATGATGTGCTGCCAGGCTCCTTACCCATTGCTGCTGTTGCTGGAGCTCCCTGATGGTATTCTCAGCTTGCTCCAGTTTAGTATTGGCCTCATCACTCTGCTGTTTGATGGTGGCCAGCTCCCGTTTTATGAGGTAGTTTTCCTCAGCCTCCTGGGCCCTTGTCACTTGTCCCTTAGGACATAATTTATTTTTTTAAGCACTTGATGACAAATCCAAGGAAAACTGCCTTTGTGATGCTTAGCTGCTTATTTCATCAGATTGGTTTTGCAAACAGCACACAGTACAATTGGTAGAAATTTTAGGACCAAGTAGTACTAAACAGCTGCCTTAGTACTTTATTACAAAGTTCAGTATCCATTTAGCAAGCACCGTTCTGTACTTGCATTCAATAAAATTCCTTTCATGCATTATTACTCAGTTGTACATGCACAGATTGAGGTTCACAATATTCAATTTCATTGTTAATACAGTGTCATAGAATCCATTTGCCACAGGAATTTGTACAAAAAATTACAATAGGTTAGGACAATTACTATAACGTGCAGGTATTGGGTTTATATATTTTTAGTAAATAAAATTAAACAAGTTTCTAGCAAGATGTATTAGCTCTGTATTTATTCCAAATCAGCAAAGCAGGGACAGAATACAGCATGCAAATATGCATGCATTAAAGCAGTTGGGGTTTTTTATGAGTAGGAAGAGAGTCATACAGTAAAAGACTAAAAGACTATACCTGGATCAATCTATCTGCCAAGGAAGCACTTTCCTACAAAGGAAAAATTCAGATAGGAATGAGGAAAAGGGAAACCAAAATACAAGGGGCTGATAATAGTGACAAAAAAGACCAAGAGCTGATAGAAAGAAAATGCCCAAATTCTACCCATTTTTTTGTGCAAACTCTTTTTGCAAAATTAACAACTCTTCATATGAATGAAGGCAACTCAGTCCAAAGGTCCCAGGAAGCAGCCTCTTCTCCAACAGATTTAACACAGTCCATCTGTGATACAAAAAGGTTTCAAAGCCAGATTTCTGTAACATTGTAAATTCACCTACAGGAGATTGGGCATTTTTATCTGAATGGCTTGCTCCCTAATTAACGAAAGTTACTGAAGCATTATCTGATAGGATCGAATAGATAGATGCAAGACACGATCTACAGTCCCCCCACAACATGAAACAAAGGCATAATTTGAGCACAGAGGGAACTCCACTAGGCACTGAGGAACTCATGCACAACTACAGCTTCCACTAAGATGAAGCAGGGCAGTTAAATGGTGCAAACTGACAGACAAGTAGGAAATGTCAACTATGACAGCTAATGTTCTGTTTTACTGAACTCTTGCAGTAACTCATTCAGCAGTTCATAGATTCTCTTTTCTTGCCAAACTTTTGCAAAAAAAAACCTTCATTTTTGCACAATGACAAGCCCTACCGCTGCGTTTAATTTCTACTTTATCACCCCTGAAACCACTCAATTTTTTTGAACATTCTGCAACACAGAAATACATCTATTCACAGACCTTCTTTGTCCTTGAAGCTTTTATTAAAATTGAAGTTCAAACTAGTAGATAAGAGCTATTTCTTAGAAGCTAAGGTACACTAAGGAAATCACAACTAAATCAGATGTATTTGAATAAAGGAAAAATATTTCAAAAGTAAGTTTCCAACAGAAGAACTTAAAAGTATTTTTCACACTTTATGATGTTTTTCAAATGCTGCGATGATAACAACCTTCATGAATTCTTATTAATATAATAATATTTTCCAATTTTGAATTGTTTTAATTCCAATCAGATTGGGATAATCTGAAGGTGAATTCTGAAATTCTAAGCACAGAACTTGCAAAAGCACTAGCATGTAGCAGTTCATCCTGGACTTTAGAATTAAAAAAAGAAAATATATCAAACCTCTACAAGTATAAAACAAGGATAGTAACTATTACATATTTACCAAGGTCATTGAAATTATTCACTACAGCTTCAAGCTTCTTAAAGAGAGCCTACTCTTTTCCATTCATTTTATCTCCAATACTAGAAACAATACAACAAATTGTATTGTTGGTAACAACTTTCACAACGTACCCTTATTATGCAACTTTTCCAAATTAAATTCTGAAATCAGTTAATTAGAATTTGACATAGACCCACTTCTTTTCAAGAAATTGCATTTGGGTTTAACATCTTAAATGTGATGTCTTTCAATTATGTCACTTTTAATTGAAACATTACCATTTTCTTCCCTGTGAAACGTGAACAACTCTTTTCAACTCACAAGAGCATTCAATTCCATTTGTTGAAAGATGGTCCCTCTCGGTGCTTAAAATGGGCAGGAATGCTCTCATTCCTGAGCAGAGCAGCTCAGATGCAATCTGCCACAGGAAGTGTGATACCAGGATACAGCAGAGGCCACTGGAGAACAGTTGGCAACATCTCCACAGCAGTCCTCATGCATACTTTCGAGGTTTTAGCCAGTTACAAAAAAACCTAACGAAACTCTACTCCAGATTAAACACAAGAGAAATAAGTATTTGGATATCCTCCCCACCAGGTACCCAGAATTGCCACAAAACCTCAAAACCACATAGAATGAATGAATGGCAGTGCTCCTCAATATGAATGCTGCAACATCTCTCTGGTCATTTGGTAGGTCTGTCATTTTGCTCCTACATAAAAACGTGAAGGAACTTCAGATTTTGAAAACTGAGGATTCTCTCACAATGACCTTTTTTCCAAACAACCAGTCCACTATTTCATGGAGTCTTCTGCATATGCTTCTAATTCAGAAAGAAAGCAGTACAACACAAGCTGAGTATGTCAAAATGTGTGATTTTATAATCACTAAGAAGTAGACATAACCGTACATATTTAAAGCATTGACCTTAATTGCTTAGTGATAGCCATGTTATTTGGCTAAGAACTGCTAGTAAACACCAGAGATTATCAGGAAAACAGTAAACTATAATTCTGAGATTCCCATTTCATATAATGAAATTGCCATCAACAAAGTCTAAATTAGCAGAGATTAAATCTAATCCCCAACATACTTACTTTTTCTAGTGTTTCAATACGCTGTTTTAGGAGTCTGTTTTCAGTTCGTAACCTCTGGAAAGTAAACAGTTCACAAATCCATTTCCCAAGTTATGAATTGAAAGTCTGATAAAAGCACAGCAAACTAACAACATTTTTATCTCATCACATCCATGAAAACCAATATAAATACAAAAATAATTTGTGACCTTCTTAACATCCTTTCATATTATATACTAGCTCATAATATGAATTTCAACAGCTTGGTACAGCAAAAACAAGAACACATCTCATGTTATGTGAAAGCATCTATGTTGCATTTGCTGAAAGCTGTATGTCTGCAGGTGAACCATGGGGCTTAACCCCACACCAGACTTGACAGCCTCCCCTTCATAAACAGGGTCAAAGTCTTCCTGGTTATGGGGCATGACAGTGCACTCCCTGCAATAGGACCGGCTAATGAGGCAGCTACAAGGTTTCCTTCCCTTTCCTCACAAGAATTTACATTCATCTGTAAGGTTATACTGACAATTACCTCACATGTCCCAGAAGTAAGAGAGAATTGTACTGAACTCTATACTTTACAAGTGCACTTCCTGTAAACTTAAGCAGTCAGCATTCAGACAGAAGAGATCCCTACCCCTCAGAAGAGGGACTGGATTCCGTTCAGTCGATCCTTTATTCTGCCAGGCTAAAAGGCAACTCAAAATAAGGTTCTTTTTCTATCTCCCCTAAAATAGTCTCTTCTGCGAAGAAGCTCTGCTAAGTCAGAAATTATTTACACATGCCCCAAAGTAGGGCCTAGAAACAGATATGTTTGCCTTGTTTGGTTGGGATTTTTTGGTTGCTTTTTGTTGGGGTGGGCTTCATGATTTTTGTTTTGGGGAGGTTTTTTGCTTTCTCCTTTTTTTTTGGGGGGGGGAGGGGGATGGCAGCAAGAAGCAGGAAAGATTTGAAATTAGTTCATATACTAGAATAGTATAGTTCATATACTAGAATCTAAAGTTACAGTTGTCTTTCATATGGTTTTACTTTGTCCTGTTCTGCAGAGAGCTGCCATTTGAGCCCTGCAAATCTGATTTCAGCTGCTGTTACAGCAGGTATTCCTGCTGCTAACTACCTCACTGCCTGGTACAATAACAAACTGCCAGAAAAGGCTTCCTAATACCTTTGTGCTCCCAGGTGCTTCTCATTTTTCTGAAGAAATTACGCCTCAAAAACTGATATTGAAAGGCAGAATGACTAGCAGTGGACAGGAAGAAGGAAGGCTGTACCTAATTCCCTCAACAAACTTTTACATAATACACTTGCATATCATTTCTCCCACTGTCTTTTCTCATAGAACTGGCTAAAACCACAAGGAAGAAAATCCAGATCAAACAACATGCTGTGAAAAAAAAAGTAAAATAGGAAAAAAAGGCATCAAAAGCCTATTTATGTCACAAAAGCAAAAAGATGCAGCGATTAAGTACACACAGGAAGTAGGGCAGTTAGTAAAATGGGAAAAATAAATTCCACTGGCAGCTTGGCTTTTTTTCCCCCCAGTTTGTATTAACTGCTAAAGCTCCAATAGGAAAAGTGACTGCAGACAGAAGATACCACAAGTTGGGTCCAATGCATAAGAAAAGTCAAGATCTTAAAATCGAAGACAAACCACTCAAGTGCACTCTATGAAGTCTATCTTAACATGTGTCATACAAACCTCCTGTGTGGAGCACCTACATCTAAACCAGCATATTTGGAACCTCTGATAAATGAGGGCATCTATTATTAAGCTTTTGTCAGTGGGAAATACTAAAAAAAATAAGTACAGCAGGTCCCCAAAGATTTATTTTTAAATGTCCACCAGAAGTCTCAATAATTTCACTGTAGGTGTCCTTTATGAACAGACATCCCAAATATAAATACCGAAAGAAAAGAATTTGGGAACCTTAATTATGTCCTGCTACAAGCAGAGTTCAAACATGTAATCCCCCCGATCCAGGAATTAAACTTATTCATAAATAAATATGTTGAGGGTTCCTTACTTTAATTTCAACTTGTTCTTCCATTTCTTTTGTCTTTATTGTAGTGTACTCTTTTTCTAGCCTAAAAATTTAAAATAGTAAATTATGATCAGAAACATTGTGGATAATTTACTTGTTGGTGTAATACCTAATAAATAACAGTAGAACAGAGATACAGATTATTGATATTTCCTCTGAAATACACTCCTGTAAATGCTTAGACGTGACCTTAAATTTAAACACAGATTTCAGTAGATATGAACAGACTGAACCAGCTTTCTGAAGTGCAGGAGCTTGCTTGGATACATTACAGTGGCAGCAATTTGGAGCTACTCTGTAATAACCCCTTTATGCAATACAGTCATCAATTCAATAGATTCAGCCAAAGGAAATCAGAGCTTGGAAAGCCTGGAAGACAAAGATGCAAAGAAATCTGAGAAAAATACCTTAAATATAAACCAATTTTAGCCTTTCCCCAGCAAACCAAATGAAAAAGGCAGCAAGAAAAACCCACAAGCTGAGATAACAATGCCTCTACAGAAGGCAGATCAGCAAGTTCAGACTTGAAATGGAGGATTTTCAACTGCATACACTTGCACTGGTTTGCAAAGAAAATATTTTTCCTGCAAGTTCTGTTTTACAGCTTTTTTAGAGAACACTGCTCACTCTATTGATCATAGACTGCTGACAGAAAAGAAAAAGATCGACAAATTCAGCTTGGAAGACCCTGGGCACAATCTGCAGTGCAACAATGAACAAAGGATACTTTAAAACCAATAGGCAACCTAACAAACTCAACCTTGGCAAATGACACTATCTGCAGCTTACTAATCAAAGCAAAATTTACCAAAGGCATGCAACATGCATGACATGCAACTAACCTTAAGAACAACAGAAACAAGTAGCAGTATTCTCAAGATTTCAAACCCCACATGAAAGTTGTTTTACTGTTCTCAATGTTAATACAAAATTTTATCAATTTATATTTTAAACAGCACTAATTTTAACTATAAATGCACTCTTTAGCACCATGATTATTTTTCCAGTTCCTGAGAACTAAAATCTTTAGAATTTAGGCCAGACCATAAAAGTTTCATCTCCTTTTACCCTGAAAAAAACAATCTCCCCTCCCACAAAAAAACCACCCGCTACCCAGCCTTCCTATTAAGTTGATTTTTACAGAAGTGCTGTAATTCCCCAAAACTTGCTGTTTTCTTCAAATGCTTTTTTAGTTATTTTTGTCAATGAGATATAGCTTTATTATATTTAAGAAAAAGATCAAATACTACTTTGGAATATTTTTTTTTGCAGACAGAAATGCAATTTTAACTGTTTGTATAGTATAAAACCCCCAAAAAATAAAGACGGAAAATTCAAAATGAAACACTGAATAACAATTCTTAAGGGTAAACAAACAGTAATTCAGCAACAGTATAATCCATTTTCTCAAAATGTAATACCTACTTTTTCATCTTTTTTGCATTGTATTTGACTTGGTAAGATGCTTGGATTAATTTGTCTGGACCACTGTCAAACTGATGTGGAATGACCTTTTGAAAGTGCTAAAAGCAATCAGAGCACAAGATTACATATAATTAACAGCTGCAAGGAAATAGACATTACACATTTCAGGTATCTCTTAAAATTATTATAACCATAGCTTACCTGTAACATTCCTTCCATGTCAAGTTGCAGTAATTCTGCCTGGTTCATCTGAAGTAATGCTAAACCTACTCGAAATACTATCTCTAAACCCTGAAAAGAGAAGTCAAAAAATATCCAACAATTATTCATGCCATTGTCAACAGCACAGAGTTTTTCTACTATTTACTAACATTGGAAATCTCACCCAAGTAAGCACAAGTAAAAAGGGCTACTGAAAATATCTCTCAACAAATTGCTTCTGTGTTTCTTTTTTTGTTCCAAGGACAAGCAATCTGGCTATTTCTCCTGATGCCAGATATCTGCCTCAGAGAAGCTAGGGATGAGGCAAAATCTCAAGTGACAGGAATTCTCTAGGTCAACTCTATCAACCATTTTAAGTATATCTAGTAGAGAAATCCTCAGTACTTCTCAAAAAAGCTATTTTATTTTCAGACACAGTACAATGCAGTTAAACTACTGGGGAAAAAAAAGTAATTTCTCACTATATACCCCGTCTTGGACTTTCCTGAGGGCAAGCTGAAAGGATCCACCTTTGACTTACTGCTTTCTAAAAGGTGACTGCAAGGCAAGCATAAGCTATGATTTTTTACTAGTTACAATTATGTAAAACTCTAATCCTAAACACAGCAGAGGTGTCTTTGTGATAATGATACTGAATAATTCCCAAAATTTCTTTGCCACCGATCATCACCTGGACAAGAAAAAGGACTAACACTCCCCCTTCTTGGCTTGCATATCCCCATGAACTTTAGCTTTGGCCTGAAAGCAGCGTTGGTTTCAAACTGCAAACTCACCATAATACTCAAGAATGGATGTCCCTGCTGCATGCAATGCTAACGCACTGCATCCAGAAAGAACAGATTTCAGAGCACTTCAACAGGCTTAGAGCACAGTTACACACAATATCAACATTCAGTGACTTGGCTGCTCTTCCTTGACAAACTGCACACACAGACACCTTCCCTTAAAATAATCTGATCAGTATAAGAAATAAAAAGCAAGACTATGAGATTTGTGCATCACGATGGGATTTATACCACTACCTAAATAACCACTTTCAACAGCTACTCTTGAAATACAACATATGACTACTAATTAGTAGTTACCTCAGACATAAAGATATCAAATATTCTTGTTGCAATTGGTAGTGGAAAAGTCGTAAGGAATATAGTTAAAAACCATGACGATGCATACATAGAAGTGTGAAAACTCTGAGATTGAAAGTGCACATAAAGCTCTGGAAGATGTTCCTGGAAAAGAAGAGGAATAAAATACACAAGTACATTAAGCTTCTGCTTGTAGTTTTGGTGCAGACATGTTTTTGATAAATTTTGAATACAAGAAAGAAATTGATACCTAGTACAGATAGGAGCTGTCTGTACTAGCACAGGACTAGGAAAGATATGACTCATCATTCTCAAGAACCATGCAACTAAAGTCCCAATACAGAATATCCTATAGAATGTCTACCCTGCAAAGCAGATAACAAAAACACTTCCTGATCCTAAGGAGAAATCAAGCTTGTAAATCCTTGAGTAATAACTAGAACAGGCTACTAAAAAGAGCTGACAAAAATCTAAGGCTATGTGCTATCTCACCCCTGACCACCATGTTAGAAACTGGATCACAAAACAAACCTATTTTTCTCCATCAGCCTGACCAGGAAGAACCTGCATTTCAAATCTGAAAACAATTTCAAGTCTAGATATGAGGGTACCTCCCAGTTTCATCTTTTAAGATACCATAAATTGGCTATGAAGACTTTGACTTTCAGAGTCTTCAATGCAAACAGAATTAAACATTCATATGCTTAAATGCAGCAATACAAATTCTCATGCTTCAGTGTTTAAAGCCAGTCACTGTTTGCCAAAGGTTAAAAAAAATTGCTCACAGAGCCACATGTATTTACTTCTGAAGTTCTGAAACTAGTTACTGTCAAGAGTACAGTCTGTTAGCCAATAGACATGCCTGCTCTTGAACTCTAACTCCCAAGTTCCTTATTAATAATTACTGAAGAGCAAGTTTGATAGATTTTGTATGTACCTGTATCATGCATTCAAACTGGTACATACAAAGGCCCAGTTCAGCCATGCTTGGTTTAAAGAGTTCTCGCAGTCTGTAATCTTGCATTAATTTAACAAACACACAGAATGCCTCTTCTTCTGGCATCTATATCAAAAACAAAAAAAGCACAGTAAAAACTCTGGACAAACAACGATATATCAGAGTAAATGCGTGGGAGGATTTAGGGTGGGGGTTTTGTGTGTGTGTGTGCACACAGTGGAGCTTTTTTCTTGGTTGTTTTTTTGTTTTGAGGTTTTTGTTTTGTTTAAGGGATTTACAGCCAATTACTCCAATGAACTTTTGTATATATTAAATTCTAGCAAATAATTTCTAAACTGAAATGGAGGTCAGAAACCAATAATACAAAGAAGCTTCAAGATAATCAAGTCAACTGTGCAGTTTCATTTGAACTCTGAGGAGATTCCATGTAATAGAAGAGAAACAAGAAGTTCATTTATTTTTGAAATAATCACTCAGCAAAATAGCTTGCAATCATGCAATCCTACCTTGGATCTGAGAAACAAACACATTATCCCACTCCAATACAAGTATCTTGGCAAACAGAATGACACCAAGTAAATCTCATTTTATTTCCAGACTAAACAGCTGCCCTTGACAACTTTATTGTAATAAAATTATGAAGCAAAACCATAGCAAAAATTCCCAATAAACTGCCAAAATATATTATGCATTCTAGCTTGGATTTTAAAGTTTCACATGTTTTTAAATATTTTTACCTGCATAAGCAGTAATCCAACTATAAAAGCGCTCCCTTGACAGTATCCAACCTCACGATCCACCAAAGAGTAAGCCTGGAAAATAAAGTTAAAACTCTCAACAATTAAAACCTCATTATCAATAAAAAGTAATCACGGCTCATCCTGCTATCTTGCTAATAACTTATTCTTCCTCTCCCCAAATCCAGCAAAGGCAGACATCCTACCCAGAAGTTTTAGTCAGACATTCTAGTTTCTACCTGCTGCTACAAACTCAGCTATGTGAGCACATACAAAGCTAAAACTAAGGCATACCTACCAAAAACACAGGCAGTTTTCAACTACAGGAATTTGGTAAAAGATAAGAGAGACCACTGGCATACAAATCTCACGAAGTACTACTTTTATAGGAGACAGACCAGACAATGAAAAAATTGTCCTCAAAAAAATATGTGTTGCAGTTTTATTTACAGATGAATGAAATGTGGTGATCTCCATGCAGGTAGCATCTTTGTTTTAGACTTATGGAAATTACTAAGGTTTGGAAACCTGCCAACTTTTCCATTGAAACCATGTTCTATGGAAAAGCCTGACCTTCAAAGTTTAACCTCTAGTGAAGACTAAGCAATGCAAACAATGCTACAGTGGCATTTTCATTTTGTGTTTGGGCACTGGAACAACTGCACATTAGCTTGTACCTGCCATGTGCACTTCAGAAATACCTGCAAACTGAATACTAGTTCTGATTGCCAATGTCCTCGTCTCAAGCAACACTGTTTACTTTAATTCATGGCACACTTCATTCCATTACACAATGAGCAGTAAGTATGTGACTTTGTTTCAATGCCAACTTGGTTTTACCTTGTGATATAAAAAAACTTATGAATGCAATCGAAACTAAAATAGGATTTGTTAAACCATCCCAGTGTCTACGGTTTAAAAAAAACTTATAACACATGAAACTGGTGCAAGTTCTCTATATACAAGGTAGTCCAAGCTGGTGCACATTGTTGCTAGTATATTTTCAAGGGCTGAAATACCAACTCACCTTCATTACGTTGAACAAGACCTCCTGCCCAAGGCTATCTTTTTCTTTGAAAAAGTCATGTTCAGGGTATGTTCTAGCAATGTCCCTTCTTATTAATTTTTCACAAGGAGATGTCATTTTTAAAAGCTCTGAATACTGATCCTTAATTGGCATGCTTTGAGCACTGCATAAAAGTTGCCAAACAATTGCTCTGAAGTGATGAGGTATCCCTTTTCGAACCAGCTCCTAAGGCACAAAAAGACATTTATATTTCCTGAAAATATTACAAAAAATAAACCTAGAGAAAAAACAACTTCAAATCAAGTTCCTCACAATTTCAGAAAAAAATTTACATTATGACAAAAACTCCTCATACAGTTTATAACATCAAATTTAGTGGGATCATTAGGTTCACAAAAGTAAGCAGTCTCTGAATCATTTTAGTGGCTAAATTAGCTACTTAAAGTAGTCCTTTATCCGTAGCAAGTTATGTGAAAATGAGACCTAAGAAGTCACTGACTAAAAATTACTTCCAAGATAGGTAAATGACAAAAAGTAGAACTAACTGTGGCACAGTCAATTGCAACAAAAAATTTGCCCAGTACAACTATCATCTAACACACTTGACAAGTTTTGTCCAATTTCTCTGGTGTGCCAGTATTTCCAAGCTATCTTCTAAGAAATTATTTAAATGCAGTTTCAGACACTGGACCAAGAAAAGATTAAGTTTACACCTACTAAGTGAACTAAATTTACTTAATCTTTTGAAAAAAAATTCTGCTATTATACAATTCAAACACGCCCAGATGAGTACACCTAAGAACCTGTTACTTGTCCTTTAAGAAATCACAAGGACAAGTAGTCTTGCTGCTTGATCTGAAAACTGAGAAAGAAGCATTATTCAGGAATTAAACAGACCCTTGGTGGTATGTTCTGCAACTAGGATCAGTCTGACCTAGAAAATTGTCTCTTCAAGACTATTTCCTTTTTGTACCCTAAGAATTGTTATCAAGGATTCTGTCTCCTAAAGGCTAATTTCTTCCATTATTATTTATTCTGAAGCCAGAGTAACCTCCTATTCTGCAAAGCTTCCTCTTCTTCCTTGTTTGTTCCACCTATTTCTCCTACTTCTCCAACATTACAATGAATTAATGCAACACTGATAACTTTCAAAGAGCACCTTTCAAGTTTTGTTTTTCTTAAGCCTGCTGCAGGAGTTTTGCATCACTGACCTCCATTTTTGAATATCCCTAAGTTCTCAATCCATCCTTCTTCAGAACCACTGTAGTGATGCCACTCCAACTATTTCTCCTGTCTACAACACAACACCAAGGTGTTTTTCCTAAAAGATTCCCAATCCAAGACAAGAACAACTGTCTCTACCTGTCCTCTGTCAACAATGCAACTGGACGGAACGTCAGTCATCTAAAGCCTCAAGGGTACTAATAAAGCAAGAAACTTCTTGCTAATGCCTCATTAACATGCCTGCTTGACAGAATAATAGAGTTAACCCCTCCAACTTTCCTAAAAGGAACAGCAGGAAACACATCTACTGGACACGCCATGTGAACTGAACAGCAGGACTTGAGTCATCCTTTAGAAGTGCTTCATAAAAAAGAAGCAAGATCTGAAGTGGATTGAGAAATATAAAGGATGGAACACATCATCTTTGGAGGAAGGTCCACACACGTATGCCTAAAACCTAAAAACTGACCAGATTTCTAATAACCTAAGACCAGCTTTTACAGCCAGGACAAAAAGACACCTATGCTGCTACCTATTTACCTACTGGCATGCTCAGGAAATAGGTGTGGATCTTCGGATATTCCATCAGAAATGCAGACTCACAGTTAAGGTTGACTTTCAACAAAAAAATACTGAGAATTATTTAACAGCAAAGGAAAACTTGGCTAGTTTTCAATATATTATTCAGCAATATATTTAAATACTCCCCGAAAGTTAGTCAAATACTCCTCAAATTGTATTTGGCCAGCTGTAAAAACAAGTGACACTTGTGACAATTGAAAATGTTCAAACAAATTCTAACTAACCAGGTCGTCTTATTACCACCTCACTTTTCCTTTCTCTTGCCAGATTCCTATGGCCTTCTTTTTCTTTTTTCCTATGCCCTTTTGGAACACCTTTCCAGAAACTGCTTTCCCTATGCAAGCAGGAAATTTTTAGTTCATTTTCTTCCCTTGTTTCCTTTCTCAAGTCATGTTCTCTCTTCACAACTGCTCCATACAAAAGATTCTTTACTTTAGCCCATTGTTCTGCCTTCCCACAACCTATTCATAGACACACATTTCCAACTGTTCAAAAGACCCTGACACATTTGTATTCTGCACATAAAACTACAGACTACAGCCAATAAAGAACTAAAGCAGAACAAACTTGCCTACTAACAAAAAAATCCCACACTGTTCTGCTTGCTGCCACTGAAACATGGATACATTCAAATGCACTAAATGCTTTTTGGTTTGAATTTAAAGTGTAACTGAACTCCACTTCTGTACATGACCACAACTAACCCAGCCTGGACACACCGGTCAAAGTTCATCCAATCCACCCAGAATTTAGAAACTATGAGTTCTTCTGCCTAAGGTCATCTCTGGGATCAACATACTTGGCAAGCACAAAAACCTAAACTCATTATAGCCTTTGAGTATAATTATCAGCTCTCCTATTAAGAACGCTTTAAAAAGAGAGCTGCTCAGTATATAGCAGCATGGCATACACATACATAATCAGAGCATCAAGCTATCAGATGCCCTTCAGTTGATTTTCGGTAATTCCATTTTTGGAAACATGAAGCTAAGCATCCCTGCACTCATGGAAATCTCTCATCAGAGGTAAACTGAAAGCTTTAGCTAGTATTCAAGATACAGTAAATGCATCTGGTTTTCAGCAGGAAACATTTGCTGGGTGACAGCACATAGGAAGGTTACAAAGGAAGCACTAGGGCTTAGGGATGGAAAGATTCAATTTGTAGTTTGTATTACATATTTTTTAAAAATAATAAGCCCATCACAAAGATAAAACAGTATCATTTATATCACATTAAAAATAAATCCAAACAACAGTTTCCAACTACCTTAACTTGCTTTTCTTTCTTTTTGCGTACATCTTCCCATTCATTCACAATCCGCCCCCACAGGATCCACGAGTCTTCTTCAAGATGGCTGAGATTGCTAGAAGCTGATGAACTAGATACAAGAGAAGAGCCACTATTTCTTCTTGACCCATTTACTGATCGTAAGGATTTGCTATCTGTTTCCAAGAGTCTGCAAAGAAAGCACACAAAAACCAAATTCAAGTTCTTCTAATCAAAGGATCACACTATTAATTGTTTTCTTGACAAAGAATGCACCCAGAGGTTCAGTGAAACAGTTTCACAGCATTCATTTGGACTAAATGTGAAAAGAATCGTTCAATGCTACTGCTTTCTCTTGAGATCTCAAGTAAATCTGCAGATAGAATAGCTCACACTGCAGCATTTTAAGAAACAGATAAAAATGTCACCCACAGCTGTCATGCATCAGACTGACAAAGAAAACCTAAGGAAGTTAAATACCCTCACTGGTAACATCAAATGTCAAAGAACTTTAAAATGCAGTCATTTAAAAGACAAAAAATTAGCCTCCTATAAGTCTACCTGATTACACTTTTGAAAATTGACAGTGTAAATAAAGACAGAACAATTAAAACCTTTAAAGTAATTTTAAAAGAACTGACATTTGCTGACAACTGTTCACAAATCAACACGGTGTTTTATAAACACATGAGAGAAATCCCAGACCTACAGACCAAGGACAAGGCAACACATGTGACTAGTAGAGCTAATGAATGTGTAATTAAAGTGAGGAGCTCAAACATGAGAACCTCTGGGGCTGTCCAGCAGCAAAGTACAAATCAAGATGTGTCAAGTGCTAGACAAGTTCCTGAGGAGACTTTCCTGTGAGCTGGTTGCTGTGGCCATGGACTTGGCAAAAGGGCAATGCTTTGTTTATCCTTAACTAATATTGAGCCCCATAAGCAGGGGAAATTTTTTGGACCATGTGTTAGGTAAGAGCAGGAATTCAGACTAACTTGGAAGTGTTTCACTATACCACAAGTTTAATCTGTGCTTTAACTTCTAAGAATTCCAATATCAGTATAGCAGAACCATGTGGTTGAATAATTTCTCAAAAATTAGTATGAAAGTTAATCCCCCAGCATTTAAGCAAGGTCAGGTTATGTTTTAGATATTTAACAAATTATAGCCCAGGGCATATTGCATCTGAGATGGTAGAGAAATCTCAGAAATACCTAATATTTAATAATACAGAAATACCTACAATATTTAAGCTCTCTGCTACAATGAAGTTATTTATACTAGTTTTCCCTGTTCCCAGCTTTCACCTACTGGTGTTTATGAAAGCAAGGAAAAAAGTAATTTAACTCATGAAGATAAATAGCACAGTTTCTACAGGAGAATTTTGTTTGGAAAAGAGTTAAATGGTTAAAAAAAAGAAAAAGAAAAAAAAAGCCTTTTCAAGACAAATTTTCATTTGGGATTTTATTTTTTAAAAAAATTCAAATAATTTTCCATTTATCAATGGAATGCACAAAATCTAGTTTTAAAGAAAATACTTTAAAAATCCACTTCAAATGTTTAGAAACCTGGCTTATACTGATCCATAATGAAAAATTAGTTTGAAACTCTTTCTCTCTATCCAAGACAATGCCTCAAAACCAAATTCAAAGTAATCACACAGGAAAAAGCATAGAATAAACATTAAGATTATAAAAACTAGGTTCTAATGAGACACTTCCAGTTTTCACAGGTTTCTGTAGAAGTTATACTAAGTTTCTGTAATTAGACCTTACCTGGATAAACTCATTGTCCTTAGATTTGAAAACAGGAAGTTCTGTTCACAGTAAGTCGCAAGTTCTGTGACGTTTAGTCACTCTTTTCTTTCATTTAAAACTTTATAAATCATTTACTAATGCCAAACTGTTCCACCAGGACTCTGGACTGAGCTTCCTCTTTATTCTGTGGGGACTTTCAGTATAATTAGATTACAGAATGCTACAAGAATTAGCTTGAAACAATTTGAGTTCTTCCCTTTTCTGTTACCTAATTCATATTCTCCTTCTGACATAAAAGCTTTCAAAAAACCCAAAACCTTTACAAACATCCACAGCAGCAGTTCTTCCAGCAAGCAGAAAGAATGGTTCCCTGTGAACAGAGTACAACTGTCAACAAAGTGCCACTGTGCTAAACTGCAGATGCAAATGCTCTGAAACTACAGTGCAGCCAGCACAAGAGCATCGAATTTCAGTATTAAAGGGCAGGCAGTACCTCACCAGCAAGGGTACACTTGATAGGCCAGGCTCTAAAGAGAACTCACACACAAGGCTAGTGTGGTACTAACAACATGTCTGGCTAAAATGAAATAAAACCAGACAAGATTGGCTAGTTTACTTACTAAATGAAGAAAGCTGACTTTAGACAGAAAGCCCAAGCTCACATTCCTCTTTCAACAAGCCAGGCAGTCTGACTGCAGGCCTTAATGAGAAGGCTCTAGATGTGAAGACATTACACTCCAACAGAGATAAGCAGTCCAAAGAACAGTTTGCTTTTCAAATACAAGCTAGTTGCTTTGTCATGAACAGACTAGAAAGCCTCAGATTAAATGCAAATTGGCTTTCTAAAAAAGCGCTATTTAACTATTTTTTTTGCTTCTTTTGATAATTTTTCATTTGCATGGCAAAAATTAAATGGAGCTCATCTTCGAAGACAAGGAAGAGTGTATGAGGTGGCTCTAGAAGCTTCCTTCTATTGTCAAAATCTGGACAGATGTATCAAATTCCCTTAAAATTGTGCTGCTATCAGGCTAGAATACAGACATGGGAGAAGACATGCCTGGTGACATACAGGCATTGCCTCTGCTCCCCCCAGTTACTTGTTTCCTCCACTGAAAGTTACTACCCTCAGAAGTGACTCAGCAGAGAAAAAACCAAACAAATAAACAAACCAACTAAAACAAAACCTGAAACCAAACAACCCCTCCCAACCAAGAATAATATTAAAAAAAAAAAAAACAAAAACAAAACCCACACACAAAAAAAACACCACTAAAGAAAATCACACAAAAATCCACCAAAATGCAACACCCCCACTCCCCAAACCAACCAACCAACAAAACATAAAAGCAAAAAACTTCCAAAGAAACCCAACCCAATCAAAAATAGAGTACCTCAACTGCCTCAGTGCAAAGACCAGCACTCTCACAGAAGCTGGAACAGAAGCTAGTTTGAGCTAAATTATCAAACCTTCACCGCACTACAGCTCAGGGATAGCCATCTCCAGTAGGTAACAAAGCCCTGCAGCTACCTGCCAAGTCTAAAAAGCTACTTGGAGCTCAAGTTGTTTACAGCCAACCTCTCAAAAATTATTGAAACACACTTGTTAAATGTAACTAGAGTTTGCAAAAGGACAGATGACTTAGGAGTCCTGACTCAAAAGTACAAATGAGTATGGCTTCTGGAAATTAAACATTAAGAAATTATATAGTCCAATTTAATTTCTTAGTGATATTGTGAATTTGCATCACTGTGCACATCAAGAGCAACTGATCCACCTGAAAGTTGCATCTTGAATTGTACACGGTGCAGATAAATAGGCACTCATGACAAGGCTACCATGAAAACTGTTACTATATATAAAAAGGCAAGATGAACAGAAAAAACTTATTAGGAATTTACTTTTGATTAATTTAAGATGTTAAGCATCAGGCAACACTAGTGTAACAGCAAGAAGGGGGCTGAACACGGTTCTATCTCTCTACATAGCAGGTTATGTAGCTGAAACAAGAACTGGATAAAAGTGAAAAAAAAAATTGAGAAAGATTTAAGATTTCAAGAAATTAATAGAAATTATAGTTATGATCTTAGAGGGCAAGAAGGTTACACACAAGTGTTGCCCCTGGGATACTTTACTTTAAATTGCATTCTAAAAATCACTGTGTAATTTCTTACTATTAGAGGCAGCTACAAACACTCCTGAAAAAGACCTTATAGAGTTTCAGAAAAACATAACTTGTAAAAACACAGCACAAAAATACAAATTCTTAAACCTTTGGGCTTTCAAAAGTGCTGTGCCATGAATTTTTTAACTAATTCCCCTTTAACAGCCTCTATGCTACAATGGCAATAAACCAGTTTTAGTCTCATGACTCTACTTCGAGGAGCAAAAAGTTTTCCATTCACCTGTTCTGTTCCTCAAGTTTAGCAAGCAATTCCAAGTCGTCTGGGCTCAGCTGTGTCGGTGAGGATGGTGACAGGGCGGGTGTGGACAGGGTGGTGGAGGGGGATGTGGTGTGGAGGGAGGCAGATGGACTCGCCACCTGGCTGGCCATTTGACTGACGGTGTGCGATACCGTGTTCTTCACCCATGAGAGAGTGGAGCTCAGCTTGCCTGCAACCTTGTCTGTCGCCACCTGTATCGACACAAAGAAGAGGATGCAAAAGTTGTCCTTTTTAAACTCCTTTTTTCCAGCAAACCTGCTGCATCAAACAAAGGAAAAAATATACAATATGCACAAAGCAACACTGAGATTATTAATTTCTCCAGGACCCCAAGGCTGTCAGAAGTAACACAAGCATCACCAGCAATACAGTATTATAGAAGTAACATGCAAGTATGTTGCTAATCCACAAAGACAAACCCCAAGAAACTCCTGATGTATACTCACAGAGCTCATCTCTGCAGTACAGAAATACCACAGGATCCAGGATCAGCTCCGACTTTCCATTATAAAAATAAATAGAAATAAAAGCTTATTTTAAAACATCTTGATAAACTAAAATAATGGCACAGAAACTGCAGAAATACAGATATAGAAACAATCAACTACTTTACTGATAGACACTGAAGCAGAATATCAGTGTAACCCCCAGACCACCCACTGCTCATCTTCACTAATCCCTATAGTGCCAGGACAGAGGAGCAGCGGCACTCCATTTCTGATTTACACCAAAGCAAAGCATCCTCTAGCATTGCCAGTGTGCAGAAAAGTCACAAAGCACCTGTGCCCATGAATCTACAACAGCTGAAAGTCTCACAGTAATGCATCACACTGCTGCCTTTTTTCTCTCCTCACTTTCTCTTCTTGTCACTTCTACACCAAGTGTCCTTGATCCTCAGTCGCACTGCCAGTGCCTGGACAGACCCCAGGGTTTTGGGGGAAAGCAAGAGGTGCTGCTAGAGTCAGGGAAGCAGTGGGCCCAGGAAAGCAAAGGTTAACTCGTGCTGATCATTATCTGCTGCTACTTCTTGACCAGTGCAATGGGCAGAATGACCAGAGCAGCTCTTGGGGGCATCTTCCAGTGAACCCCTCACTAGAGCTTCCCTTCAGCATCTGAAAATGTAAGGGGCTTTGACACATGGTAACTCAGAGTTTAATCCTTTCCCAGACCAACTCACAGGAAATCCAGGTGCACCTTAGAGGAAGAGCTGGCTGCCTAACAAATGTTAAAACTTGGCAAAACCGAGGCTGAAGAGGAACTTCTGAAGTGGTGTTGCTGGTAACTATTTATTTTGAACTTTGCTGATTTCCCCAAAACACTGAATTACTCAACGTCACAAAGAAATCTGCAGTACAGCCTATAAATAATTACTAAGATACTGAAGACACTGAGCTACAGGGAAGAAAAAATCCCTTCCCAAGATCCTCCAACAGAATCTAATTAAAGCAAAATTTCAACTGAAATAAAAAACTCCAACTCATCACACTGTGCATTTATCTGAAGCACAATATATAGACTTAGTGACTGATTGCTGAAACAGAAGCTTTAGTTGGATACAATGCTAAAAAGAACTTTCCTGTCAATGAAATCCATCAGTATTTTATTTTCACTTCATATCAAAAAGAAGACACACTGAATGCCTTCAGAAAACAAGCAAAACAACACAGGCCAAACCCAAACAAGTGGAATCAACCTTTCCGCTTACTATCCAACAACAACATGACACCTAAGGTCTCTCCTAGAAGACATTTTCAATTTTCATATGCTTAGCATTCATTCTGAAAATGGTATCAAATTTTGCTGGAAGTCTTCAGAGGCAGGGATGCAAACCACAAGTGGGGATAGTAAGATACCAACATAAGCATCAGAAAGGTTCCAGTTGGTTCTTGTCACTGTTGGACAGCAAAAGTCAGGTATATAAAAAGAAGAAAAAAGGAAAAAGAAAAAAAAAAAAAACCCACAACAACCCAAAACACAAAGATCCCAACACTTATTTTAAAAATATAATCTTGGGAAAAAAATCGCTTCCAACACTAGCATTTAACACCATCTTTTATAAAAGAAAGGAAGGAAAATTACTAAAGGTTTCAAAATTCTAAGTTTAATACATGCATTAATATTTCACTCAGTCTATATCCTTTATTCACTATTGCTATGAAAGGATAAATTACTGCTGTTTCACTTTGAATAAAACCACATTATAATGAAGGTAACCCATACATCTCACTTAAGACTGATTATTTTCTCAAAGGCTTTAAACTGCTTAAAATATCACAAGTAATTCCAAAAATAAATGCTGGCAGAACCAGGGCCAATCTTAACACAGTAAAAATGACTGCCATATGCAGCAGGCTTTAGGAGTCACCCGCTCTAAGAATCTTAGGTATAAGGATTAGGAAAGCAATGATTTTGAGTAATACCCTATGTGGTGCAAATGGGAAGAAAAAACATACATTCAATTTTTATCTTTTCACAAAGTAAAGGAACTGGAAAGACTTAAGGCATAAAACAAAATTCAAGGTCAGTTTGGCTTATAAATGACAAGAATTACACTGTACAGTAGGACAGCTGAAGCGGGGTGGTGTAGGGACAGAAATCAACAATCTTGCTGACATGCATTCACCAACATATCACTGGGCATTAAAATTAACTCAAAAGTGTGAAGAAGGCAATTAGGTGAAGAATATAAAAAATAGATGGTCAAGAATACCATGCAAGAGCAGTTAAGTCAGTCAAAACAATGTGCCTAACAATACTGTTTCTCAGGGCAGCTCAGAGGTGCATCAGAATGTATCAGAGAATCAGCACCCCAAAACTATTTCTAGCCAGCTATCTGAAAATACTGATACACAGAGCAGACAAAGTGCACAACTACCAAAACCAAATGTTTGAAGATCAAAAGGCTCACAGTGAAATTTGCATCAAAAACACATGAAAAATTTGTCTGGGGGAAAATAGTTAGGGCAGTCACCTAGGGCCAAGCTAAATCAAGAAAAACACAATTCTGATCTAACAGCTAACGAGTCACACCTACATCCTTTTTGCCAGGCTTTTCCAGGTTTCCTAAATATCTAGAGCCAGCTCTCTTAATTTGTCAGCATCAGTGAAGACTCCCGAACCAAGACATGAAGATATTTAGCTATGTGTTCATCATCCAATTCCCTGGATAGCATACAGTAACAGGATTTTTCATATTTCATGATTTCACCTACCTTAATTTCAAAATTTACAACAGTGGCAGAAGATTTCACAGAGCTAATCTTTGAAAAGTGATTTAAAACCTTCTAGAAAACAGGTCACTGAAATTGGAAAATGAGAAAACCTTGGGCTATATCCCAAGAAACCTGATCTGAACAAATGCATACTTCATTAATAAAGAAGATTCTCTATTTTTTTATATCTATGGCTCTAGTAAACTGCCTCCAGAATCCAATATGCATCAGAACATTAATAGTAAAGTAAGTCATATGCACAGTTTTTAGCATTTCTTTCCTCTGTGTGGTTTTACTCTACTCTGAAAACAAATTGGTATTTTGATGAGAAGTGGAAATAAAACACCCTGATTTGGAGTGACAATGTCCAGGATAATTTAAAAAAAATTAAAATTATAAATTTAAAAAATTATAAAATACCAGAATTTTTGAAAGTGAGTATATATTGTCATTAGTAATTTTAGGTGTTTGGCTTTGCCTGTTTATTTTAAGTATATCTTCTTTTTTGGTTCCATTTAAATACTAACATGAAAATGGAACTTAGTCTAAATTGTAACAGAAAATCACTGGCAATAAAGCAAATTATTTTGATGGTAGTTTATTCTCTTCAGGAAAGTATGGAAACAGCAGTTACATTTGTTCAGCTGATTCTAGTGATGTGGAAAATATGGAATACCAATATCAACATTAAAGATCCAAATACTTGAATTAATTATTTTACTGAATTTAAGCTGCAAAACTATAGCTTGGTTTAATTATTTTTTTCTCCTGTGAAGAGCAATGCACCAGCATTCCTATGGACACACTGAGCATACCTGCCTCCTCTTAATGAAGACTGAAAATCCCTGCTATGTCACCAGCTTTCCAATCCCATGAGCCCCGTTCCACCCAACAGCACAGCTGTACCTGGCTATCACTGAGCCAGCACTGCTGCCTCCCACCTTTCTGCCGAGAACCCCTGCCACAAGAGATCTGTCACACACCGAGACAATACGTACACACAGTGCACAGGTGGATCCTACTGACTCCCAGGAGATCTGTACCTCTCCTCTGACAGCACAAAGCAGAGAACAAGTTTCACCCTAGCCCTGACAGAGGCTGAGGCTCCCCCAGTTACCAATCACAGGGACAGCAATGAGAATATATTTAGTATGAATGACAGCAGATAGTTTAACTGGGCATCACCAACTCCAGCAAATGCAGGGAAATCTGTGTGAGAGTCCGTTTAACCTCCATTCTTTAGAGGTGTGATTTTGCTTAACACAGTATTCTGAAAAGACTCAAGAGAACAAGTCTCATTAAACCTTTAACCTTTGGATTTTTTGGGCAGTGTCCTCAAGGCTTTCCTAAACAAGTGTTTCTTTTTAAACCTGGTTATTATTTTAACAGATGCATCTGCAGGCCTGCAGCAATGTCTGCCTTTTGCCTGCAAGAACGATGCTCTACACTTCAATTATTTTGGACACAATGCATCCTTCCCTTTGCTACTCCTCATTGCTGTGGAAAAGAAATGGTAGTCATGTGCTCAGCTGTTTGTAGCAGGAACAAGGACAGCCAGATACACCACAGCGCCCCTCCTGTGATCTTAGCTAGGTCACAGTGGTAAATCCAGCTACACGAGACAGGGCTTTGTCCCCACCTCGCACCTCTGCCGCTCCCTCCCTGCTGGAGCCCTCCCGCTCACCAGGCTGCTCCAGCGCGGCGCTTCCCGGCCAACCGCCGCACACAGAGCTCCAGCCCAGACCGCTCCTGAGTGCCAACCCCTCCCACATCTAGGCGAGCTCTCCATCCTCGTTCAGCTAACCAGCCCAGGCTATAAGATCCCAGTGAACAGGATCCTTTGCTCAACTCACCTCAGCCAGTTTTTCAACTCTGCAAAGAGAATTGGTTTCCTTCTTATTCCCAGCATTTTTCAGATGCTGAAATCCAAGTTACCTTTAAAGAGTACAAAAGGTAACCTACATGGGCTGGGATGTATGCCAAACCATCAAGAACACCATCAGGATGCTCAAGCTATTACTAATTATTATTGATGTGTGATGAAAAATAGAATCAACCAATTGTAAAAACATGCTTTTTCTCTGGAGAGGGATCACTCAAGAACTTGCCAATTTATCCTGGATTTTGAACACTTCCAGCTCCCTCTTGGGACATCAGCTCCTTCCACTGAAGATGGCTAGATCTGGAGACAAGCAAGCAGGGGCACATCTTCCTTACCCTGCGCAGGAGGACACATGGAACTGAGCAGGCATCTCCGAGCTCCAAAGCAGGCACACTCACTCAGAC